CTAGGTATTTTATTCTTTTTGTTGCAATTGTAAATGGGATGGTATTCTTAATTTCTCTTTCTGCTACTTCGTTGTTAGTGTATAGAAACTCAACTGATTTTTCTATGTTGATTTTTGTATCCTGCAACTTTTCCATATTTGTTTATTATTTCTAAAAGTTTTTTGGTGGATTCTTTAGGGTTTTCTCTATATAAAATCAAGTCTTCTGCAAATAGTTACAGTTTTACTTTCTCCTTTCCAATTTGGATCCCTTTTATTTCTTTTTCTTACCTGGTTGCTCTGGCTACGACTTCCAATACTATGTTAAAAGTGGTGAAAGTGGACATCCTTGTCTGATTCCTGTTCTTAAAGGGATAGCTTTCAGTTTTTCACCATTGTGGATGATATTAGCTGTGAGTTTATCATATATGGCCTTTATTATGTTGAGGTACTTTCCTTCTATCCCCATTTTATTCAGAGTTTTTATCATAAATGGATACTGTATCTTGTCAAATGCTTTCTCTGATTGAGAAGATCATGTGATTTTTATCCTTCATTTTGTTAATGTAGTGTATCACATTGATTGATTTGCAGATGTTGAACCATCCCTGCATCCCTGGAATAAATGCTGCTTGATCATGGTGTATGATATTTTTACTGTATTATTGTATTCGATTTGCTAGTATTTTGTTGAGGATTTTTGCATTGATGTTCATCAGTGATATTGGCCTGTAATTTTCCTTTTTTGTCTTATCCTTGTCTGGTTTTGGTATTAGGGTAATGTTGGTGTCATAGAATGAGTTAGGAACCTTCCCCTCCTCTTCAATTTTTTGTAAGAGTTTGAGAAGGGTAGGTATTAAGTCTTCTTTGAATGTTTGATAGAATTCACCAGGGAAGCTGTCTGGTCCTGGACTTTTATTTTTAGGGAGGTTTTTGACTACTGTTTCTATCTCCTTACTGGTGATTGGTCTATTCAAATTCTTTATTTCTTCTTCATTAAGTTTTGGAAGGTTTTATGATTCTAAGAATTTATCCATTTCTTCTAGATTATCCATTTTGTTGGCATTTAGTTTTTTGTAGTATTCTCATAGCCTTTTGTATTTCTGACGTGTCTGTTGTAATTTCTCCTCTTTCATTTTTGATTTTATTGTTTGAGTCTTCTCTCTTTTTTTTGGTGAGTCTTGCTAAAGGTTTGTCAATTTTGTTTGTCTTTTTAAAGAACCAGTTCTTGGTTTCATTGATTTTTTCTGTTGTTTTTCTAGTCTGTATTTCATTTATTTCTGCTCTGATTTTTATTTTTTCCCTCCTTCTACTGATTTTGGGCTTTGTTTGTTCTTCTTTTCCCAGTTCCTTTAGGTGCACTGTTAGATTATTTATTTGATATTTTTCTTGTTTGTTAGGCCTGTATTGCTATAAACTACCCTCGTAGAACTGCTTTTGCTGTATCCCATAAATTCTGGCGTGTCGGATTTTCACTTTCATTTGTGTCCAGGTATTTTTTGATTTCTCTTTTGATTTATTCATTGACCCAATCGTTGTTAAGTAGCATTTTGTTTAATTCCACTTATTTGTGGCTTCTGTGAGTTTCTTCCCATAGTTGATTTCTAGTTTCATACCGTTGTGGTGAGAAAAGATGCTTGGTATTATTTCAATCTTCTTAAATTTATGGAGACTTGTTTTGTGGCCTAATATGTGATTAATCCTGGAGAACGTTCCATATGCATTTGAAAAGAATGTGTATTCTTCTGTTTTTTGATGGAACGTTCTGTATGTATCTACTAAGTCCATCTGGTCAAGTGTGTCATTTAAGGCCAATGTTTCCTTATTGATCTTCTGTTTGGATGATCTATGCATTGGTGTAAGTGGACTGTTAAAGTCCCCCGCTATTATTTTGTTACTGTCTATTTATCCTTTTATGTCTGTTAATAATTGCTTTATATATTTAGGTGTTCCTATGTTGTGTGCATAGATATTTACAAGTGTTTTATCCTCTTGTTGGATTTTTCCCTTGATCATTACATAGTGCCCTTCTTTGTCATTTGTTACAGTTTTTGCTTTAAAGTCTATTTTTTCTGATACAAGTATTGCTACCCCAGCTTTCTTTTCAATGCCATTTGCAAGGAATATCTTTTTCCATCCCTTCACTTTCAGTTTGTGAGTGTCTTTAGGTCTGAAGTGTGTCTCTTGTATGCAGCATATATATGGGTCTTGTTTTTTTTATCCAATCAACCACCCTATGCCTTTTGATTGGAGCATTTAGTCCATTGATATTTAAAGTAGCTATTGATAAGTATGTACTTATTGCCGTTTTATTTTTACATTTTTTCTGGTTGTTTTAGTAATTCTTCTCTGTTCCTTTCTTCTCTTGCTCTCTTCCCGTGTGGTTTGATGGATTTCTTTAGTACTATGTTTGGATTCCTTTCTCTTAGATTTTTGTATATTTATTATAGGTTTCTGGTTTGTGATTAACATGAATTTCATATGTAATAACCTACATATATAGGAATCTATATTAAGTTGATGGTCTCTTTAGTTTGACCTCTCTCTAAAAGCTCTATTCTTTTACTCCCCTCCTCCCATATTTTATGTTTTTGATCTCATATCTAACTTCTTTTTTTAAGTGTGTGTATCCATTACCCTCTTATCATGGAAATAGTTAATTTTAGTATTTTTGTCTTTTGACCTTCATATTATCTTCACAGGTGGTTGATCTGCTACCTTTACTGTATTTTTGCCTTTACCAGTGATTTTATTGTTTTTCTTTTTTTTTTGAGAATTTTCCTATTCCTATTTGTGGTCTTCTCTTTACCCCTTAAATAAGTTCCTTTAGCACTTCTTGTAATACTGGTTTCTTGGTGACAAACTCCTTTAATTTTTGCTTGTCTGGGAAACTCTTTATCTCTCCTTGCGTTCTGAATGATAACCTTTCCGGGTAGAGTATTCATGGCTGTAGGCTTTTTCCTTTCAGCACTTTAAATATATCATGCCACTCCCTTCTAGCCTGTAAGGTTTCTGCTGGGAAGTCAGCTGATAGCCTTATGGGGTTTCCTTTCTATGTAACTTATTACCTTTCTCTTGCAGCTTTTAGGATTCTCTCTTTATCTTTAATTCTTGACTTTAATTATAGTGCGTCTTGGTGTGGGCCTCTTTGGGTTTACCGTGTTTGCTGCTCTCTGTGCTTCCTGTACCTGGATGTCTGTTTCCTTCCTTAGGTTAGGAAAGTTTTCAGCTATTATTTCTTCAAATAGATTCTCTGCCCCTTTGTCTCTGTCTTCTCCTTCTGGGACACCTACAACACGGAGTTTAGTGTGCTTGATGTTGTCCCAGAGATCCCTTAGACTGTCCTTGTTCTTGTTAATTCTTTTTTCTTTTACCTATTCAGCTTGGCTGATTTCCTTTAGTCTTTCATCTAGCTTCTGATTCATCTACTCTGCTTTTGAGTCCCTCTTGTGAGTTTTTCATTTCCAGTATTGTATTCTTCATTTCTGATTGGTTCTTTTTTATATTTTTCAATTCTTTGTTGAAATTCTCGCTGAGTTCATCCATTCTTCTTCCAAGATTAGTCAGCATCTTTATGACTTTTTGTTTGAACTCTTTGTCAGGGAGATTGCTCATTTCTATTTCATTTAGTCCTTTCTCTGGGGTTTTGTCTTGTTCCCTTACTTGGAATGTATTCCTTTGCCTCCTCACTTTGCCTCTTTCTCTGTGCTTATATCTGTGTATTAGGTAGGTCAGCTACATCTCCTGATCTTGGAGAGGTGGTTTTATGTAAGAGATGGCTTATGTGGCCCGGCAGTGTTCTTCCTTCTCATCACCAGTTCCAAATGTTGCAGGAGTGACCCCTGTGTGTGGTATGTGTGTCCTTCTGTTGTGGCAGGGTTGCTCTTGCTGCCGGTGTCCAGGGAGGCTAGGCTGTCCCCCTGGCCAGCTGGCTGTATTTCTCAGATTTGTGTGGCTGCTGTAGACCCTTCAGTTGCTTTACTCGGTGTGGGGAGCCCCAGTACAGTTGCCTGCAAGGTCTAATAGCACATTCCTATTGCAGTTTTTCTGTTAAGTGAGTAGGCCACCAGCGTGGCTGGTTTTTAGGCTCAGGGGCTTACAATTGCTGTAGGCCTCCAGATTACAAGTCTCTTGTCAGCTCTCTCAGGATTGCAGCTGTGTGGGGCTTGCCCCAGGCATGGGAGCACCCAATTCTTGCAGGCTTTGGAAGGAGGGGGCAATCCCCTATGTGGCTGTTTGAGAAGCACAAGTCTTCTGCAGCTGACAAGCCACATTGCCCACAGGGCCACACACACCATCAACACAGTCCTGCCCCATGCATGCACCCTGAACCCCTGAAGCAGACCCAGTCTCCCTGCTGCAAAGGCCCCACACACTCCACCTGCTCCTCTCACACACCCTACCCTGCAGAGGTGGACCCACTTGCCTGGCTGCAGAGTTTCCAGGCACTCTGCCTATGCAAGCCCACAAGTTGCCTGGGGGCTTGCTATTGGGTGGAGCCAGTCCCTAGGGAGGGCTGTTTGCCCTGGCTGAGCTGAATTAAATTGGTGCTCTAGTGGGTGGGGCAGACCCTGGGCTAAGAGGCCAGAGGAAGAATATCAATGGCATCTGCCAGTGACTGTGTCAGCACGCTTGCACTTGGTCACAACAATGGCTGCTGCCAACGTCTCAGTCGCTGGAGAGGTCTCACCTCTCACCGAGATGCACTCAGAGTCTATCAAGTGAGTCTCTTTTCACCAAAGGACTGTGCACATTTCTTTCTGGTGATTCTAGGTTGCCTTCCAAAACGGATGAATTTGTGCATGGGCCCGTGAAGACTAGGCTTTTTTTTTTTTTTTCCCCTTATGTCCAATAACTTTTCTGGGGTTATCCCCCGCTGCTGTTAATAGCTGGCAAAGCCAGATATTATGACACTCATTTCAGTTGTCCTGGGTCCAAAAGATGCTTATAGGGGTAACTCTCCCCCACTCAGGTCCCCTACTCCTCCAGGGAAGGCCACGTACCTCTGGACTGCTCCCGGCCAGCCGGCGGTGAAGCTCTGCAGCTTGTGAAGGTGGCTTTTTTTCCCTCCAGAAAGGAATTTCTGCCTCTTCCACCTCAGTCAGGACTGTCCCCTGTTGCAGGGGTTCCTTTTATCCAGTTTTCAGTTCTCTCTCATGGGTAATTGTTCCAAGAGGTAGTTGTAAACTTTTTGTGTCCATGGGAGGAGGTGAGGTCAGAGTCTGCCTATGCTGCCATCTTGACACCTTAGTTTTCTTTTTTTCCCATCTTTTTGTCATTAAAAACTGGTCTACCATTAAGAATATCCTTATGTATATGTAGGTTTTAATTCTATAGCAGAGAATTCAAGAAATAAGATTGCTGGGTCAAAGGACATGTATATTTTAAATTTTGATAGATCTCACACAACTGCTTTTCAAAAAGGTCATAGCAATTTACACTCCTCTCTGCCACCCCTGCACTCAGCAATATATGGGGGAACTCATTTCCTTGCATCCTCATTAATACTGATTGTCTTTTATTTTTGTGAAACTGATGAATGGAAAAATGGTGTTTCACCTTAATTCACATTTCTCTAACAATCCATGAAGTTAAATATATTTTCGTTGATTTATTGGCCTCTTGGAAATTCATTCCTCTGAATTGCCTATTCATGTTCTTTACCCATTTTTCTATTGATTTATCTTTCTCCAATTAATTTTTAGGTGCTCATGTATATTAGGAATTATATTATCTTGTCTCTGTTCTAAAGTTATTTTTTCTCCTAATCCATTATTTGTCTTTTGATTTTGTTTATGGCATTTTTTTTTGCCATGTGAAATTTTAAATTTTTATATAGTCAAATATTTAACTTTCTTTTTATTTTTAAATGTTTTTATTATGAAAGAAATACATCTTTAAATTCAAATGCTATGAAGAGGGGTAGAATGAAAAGCAAAGGTCTTCTTTCTTATTTTTGGACTTCTTAAGCCAATTCCCTGATGCTAATCACTGTTAATAGTTTCTTCCTTACCAATTTGGAATTCTCTGTGTGTGTAAGCATCTGTCTCATGATCTAAAATTGCTAACATTTACTGAGCACCTACAACATGCCAGGAACTGTTCTAGGCAAAATTCCTGTCTATGGAGCTTACATTCTAAAGGTGGAAACAAGTAATAAACAAATAAACCAATAGATAAATAAAATAACTTCAGATAATAATAAATTCTGTAAAGAAAATAGTGTTAAGGTGCACGAAGTAATGGAGAGGAGGATGTTATTTTAGATAGGGTGGTTGAGGAAGGAGTCTCTAAGGAGGTGAAATTTGATTGGAGATCTGATAAATGTGAATATTGTACAGTGTTTTTTTATTACTGTGTACCATTTCCAGTTAATAATAAAATAGGGCATATTTACTTATCAGTACGTATAGATTTACCTGTTTGGGAAATTTTTAAGTTTCATTAATATCAGACAGTTAACTTTGATTTTACATGGACAGACAGTGTGGAAGTGTGTCTATCTTTCTATCTGTGTCTCTTGCAATTACAGTACACATGTAGAGTCCATTCACTTGATCACTTGGAGAGGGATTATACTCATGATCAATTTTCTTCATTAACTGAAAGGAAAATGTGGAGGTTATTTGGAGAAGGGGCCTCACCTTGGAGAGGGGAGGACATAGATATCCTGTAATTCACTTTAATTATGGAAGCACATGTTGAAGGACTGGCTAATGTGAGGTGGGAACTATCTATGGCTCTTATTTTTCCAGTTTATGTTTCTAGCCCCCATGAATGTGCATGTCTAAGAGGGAACTATCTCAAGGCTGAAAGCAGGCCATCTGAAATGTCTTCTTCTTGCTCAGGTATAGCCTACCATTTTGAAAATACAGAAGCTCCTGTGGTGATAAAGGGGGTCACTTTGCTAGATGGGCATCTCTTTGTTGTGGCTTAGAGATCTAAGCCCGGTTTCTGGGAAACTAAGCAATGTGGAAGTGAAAGAGATTCTGTGCCCCACATGCTTAGCCACCACTGAGCTGTTGAACACAAACAGAGTGTATTGCCTATTTAAAGGAGAAAGGAGAAGTGTAAGACTGAAGTCAGGTTGGGCAGTTGTCTCTGGATTCCTGTAGTCCGTTTTGCTCCTGATCCACTCATCAGTGGGTTGTTGAGAGCTGGTTTGCTGACTGACCCAAGCAATGAGACAAAGAAATGATTTATGGGAAGCTATGAGTCATGCCTTGTCCCATAGCTGCCTTTTTCATGTTCTGTGAAAGCTCAAATTTATCTTTTTGGCAGGAAGTACCCATGGGGGCCTGTCTACACAGCAAATTCCTGCAGGGATAGGTGGCCATGTTATAGAAGTGTGTTATGATTCTTCTCCTCCTCTGGTGAACACAGACGGACCCATGGATGCTTTGGGTAGCCAAGGGTCTCATGTACTTTCTTAATTACTGTAATTAGGTGAGCAAAATGACAAACCATTGGGGGCTCTTGGGACAATGCTTTTCAAACATATACAACTACCCCTTTGGATAATAAAACATATTCAAATTGTAGGAAATCATGTTTTAGGTGAAGGAGGACTTGTAATCACCTTGGTGATCAATTCTTGGTAAGCTTTCATTTGTTTCACCTTGTTCTGTAGGTCTTTGCACAGGTTAAACCAGTCAGCAAAGCATGTTAATAGAGCATCTACTAAATGCAGATCTCTGCTGTAGTTTCTAAGGTGTGGATGTTAAGGATTCATATGGGATAATTGTAGGAGCATGTAGCGGAAATATGGAAACTGCAAGAGAAACAGAGAACCTATATCAGAAAAACAAGTGGCATAGTTCCTGTCCTTTTAGGAAAGTTGAACAGTTATGAAATGAACAAAAGACATTTTTGAGTAAACCTACTTGGAAATGCATACAGTGCATACTA